AGAGAAACAGAACTCACAGCTGATACCTCTTTAGTGCTGTAAACATATCTTGGGGGTGAAGGGGGCGGGGAACAGAAACGATGACTGCCAATGGACACAAGGTTTCTTTTTAGGGTAATGAAAATGTTCTAAAACCCTATATCATGGCAATGGTTGCACAACTCCATAAATGCACTAAAAATCACTGGAATCTATACTTTGAAACAGGTGAATCTTATAGCATGTAAATTATATCTCAATAAAGCTGTTTAAATACACAAATGAATAACTCATTCCATAATATGAAGACATGATCTCCAAATCACTGTATAAAACCACATGTGAAAAACATAACTCATTTAATAAGCCAGAAACATTTTTAATCATCTTAACATTTCAAATTAATGTCTGATAGAACTTAAAGTTCCTCAGTTTATTATAAATATTGTTAATATAATAGGTTTTATTTTCCAAAATGTAGGAATCATATACACTTGACAAATCCAAAGTAAAACATATCTTACTTTGTCCATAACCATAATTAATTATTTATAATATTATTATAAATAGGGTGCTATAAGATTAGAACATTTTAAATTTAGAACATTAGTCTTAGTCAAATATCTGATCATAAAAACTTATTCATAAAGTATTTTGTAACCTTGTAAGAATAGAATTACATAGTCTACAAGATACTATGTATTCAGATTTTAAATGCCATTAAGTACTATGATACAAATAATTTAACATTATATAGTCTAATAGTGTCCAATGTTATACAAATTACTGCTATTAGTATTTCATAGTATATCTCTTCCCATTTGCATATTTTTAATCTATCTATAACTTACATTTAAAGTGTATCTCTCAAACCCAAAACGAGGAACTTGTATTAAAAAATGGGGATATATTCTTCAAAATGCCACTGTTAAAAAGCTAAAGAAAGGCTATGAAAATGTTCAAGTTTGAATTAAACTAAAGAGACATGAAAAGTAAACACATTATCTAACCCTAGATTGGATTCTCTACAGAAGCAGCAGAAAAAAACTGAAATAAACCTGTCAGATTCAACTATTGTTAATATTGTTTCTTTATTGTTTTGTATACGTACATACACACACAAAATTTTTCTCTGCACAGTTTGACTGTAAGTTCTCAAATCTGTCTGTATTCTAGTTTTGTCAATTGACCCAGTAATGTCCTACTAGGCAATTTAAAAAAAAAAACTGAATTTATTTGGGTGACATTGGTTAATAAAATTATCTACCGTATGATGCCGTGTATAATGTACACCCATGCTTTTGTGCATATTATACATGGGATTATTATACCCACAGTAATCATTATACCCATGTAGAATACACATCCTTGTTTTTCCCTCAGGAATTTAGGCAAAAAAGTGAACATATACATGGCAAAATATGGTAGGTGTCTGGTATATAATTCTATAATATCACTGTATCACTTGTATATTGTATTGTGTGTTCACCACCCAAGGCACTTTTCCCCTTTTAACCTTGTCTACCTCCCTCCACCTCCCTTTCCCTCTGGCAACACCAAAGGGTGGTCTGTGTCTATGGGTTCTGTGGGTTTTTGTTCGGTTGTTTGTTTGTTTGTTTTGCTTAATCCCCTAACCTTTTTCGCCCAACCCCCTGACCCCCTCCCCTTTGACAGCTGTCAGTCTGTTCCATGTATCCATGCCTCTGTTTCTATTTTATTCCCCAGGGTATTTTGTTCATTAAATTCCACATATAAGTGAAATCATATGGTATTTGTCTTTCTCTGGCTGGCTTATTTCACGTAGCATAATGTTCTCCAGGTCCATCCATGCTGCTGCACTTATTTATTCATTTATTCCTTATTCTTCCCCTCCTGCTTTCTTTTGGATTAATCAAATATTTACTCACTATTCAATTTTATCCCCTTTATGTTTTTACTATACGCCTATTTTACCGTTTCTGTACTGCTCTTGGGCCTAGAATATGCATTCAAAACTTAACAAAATTTCCTTTAACCAGCATACCTCTTCATATACAGATACACCTCATTTTATTATGCTTCACTCTATTTTGCTTCACAAATGTTAAGGGTTGTTTTGTTTTTGTTCTTCTTTTAACAAACTGAAGGCAAAGCCCCCCACCAGCAAAAAGACGAGGGCTTGCAGAACTGCGATGCTCGCTGTCCCGCGCTGGCCAGGAACTGAGCCTGCGCGTCTCCAAGCCATGCTGCGTGACAGACGAAACCCAGCAGTACAGTTCCCTGACCGGATTCGCCCCTTTTGTGCAGTCACAGCCGTGCATTTTACTTCTAAGTATGTTATTAAAACCAGTGCATCTTATTTTGTCTTTAAACAGAAAGTAATCAATGGGAAAAGTGTAAGTTAGTGTTACCCTCACATTTACCACTTCCGAGCCCCTTTACCTTTTCCTGTAGATGGTTACCGTTGGGCATAATTTTCTGTTCACTTGAAAAACTGTCTAATGTAACATTTCCCAAAGTCCAGGCCTAATGGTGACAAATTACTTCAGCTTTAGTCCATCTGAAAACGTCTCCATTTCACTTTCATGTCAAAGAATATCTATAACATTTCAGATTGACAATTTCTGTATTTCCCAGCACTTTCAGGATGACATCCATTGATTTGACTCCTCATGAGAAGTTAGTGAAGAATTCCATCTCCGGCAATGTCTTTTTCCCCCTGGCTGTCTATAAGATGTTTTCTTTGTTTTTCAGCAACCTGATGATGTACCTGTGTTTTCTGGATGTTAATCCTGCTTCAGATTTGATGAGCTCCTTAGATCTGTGGGTTTACATTTTTTAACAAATGTAGAAATTTTTGGTCACTGTCTCTTCCATAATTTTCTGCCTCAATCTCTCTCCCCTTTCCTTTTGCACCTGCAACTACACAAATGTTAGACTGCACGATACTGTCCCAGAGAACATTGTGACCTTGTTCATTTTCTTTTCAGTCCATTTTTCTCTTGTGCTTCAGTACAAGTGATTTCAACTGATTTAACTTCAAGCTTGCTGGTCCTTTCTTCTATAGCATGCCATCCACTGCTCAATCTACCTGATAAACTTTTCCTTTCAGATACTAATCTCCAACTTTTTGAAAGCCCGATCATCAGTCACATTTTTCTGCTTTTTCTCAAGAATAACAATCGGATGCTGGACATTACGGATGCTTCATTACCGAGGACCTGGATCCTATTGTCTCACTTTACAGTGAGTTTTGCTCTGGAAGGCAGTTAATATACAAGTAGGTTGGACTGATACTGTAGAGACCTGGTTTGGGCTTTGTCTATGACATCTAGAGTAACCCTTACTCTTCGGCTAGGACGGCCTTGTTCCCAAGACATAACCTGTCCGAGGTCATGCTGAAAAGCACAGGATGCTCACAAGTTTTCCCCACACTGAGTGGGCCGACTCGAACATTCCCAAGCATCTGGCAACTTCCGGAATCTCCACGCTGCTGACAGTCCCTCCGCAGCAGTTTTTGGCCAGCCTTGGGTGTGCGAGGCTTCCTGTTTGAGCAAAGGCTCCAGGGCACTCTTCTCAGATTTCTGGGATTCCCCTGCGCCATTCCCTCTTCTCCAGTGCCCTTCCCCACAAATGCCAGCTGCCTCCACACCCCTGAGCGCTGCCCTCTGCCTCTGCTGATTAGAGCGAGGCGACTGCAGTCTGGGTAGGCATCACCGTGCTGCAGGCTGGAAAGCATCCCAAAGGAGAAGCTGGGCGGCTGGGGCACACACCCCCAGGCCCTGTCCTCTCGGCAGACTGCGCAGACAGCCCGAGACCCCCGCTCTTAGAGCTGCTGACAGCAGAAGGTAGGTTCAGCATAGCCTGAAAATGAAGTCCCTAATTCTAACTATGTTTGAAACAGCTTTAAACTCTATTATCTTATTTCATCCTTAACATGAACATGGAACATAAAGGCATATATTATTTCCATATGACAGGTTAGCAACCCATATGTAAAATGTTAAATAACCTCCTCCTAAACAATAAAGGTATTTTATTCAATACACAAATGTTCACGAGTACCTACCACGGGCATAGAGTAATTGACAGAGTGGCAAAAAGAACTCAGGGAACACAGCTGCAACCGCATTTCTTCCTACTGAACCGTCAAGAAAGTGCACAGACTTAATCCCCCAAAAAGTCTAATGAATGAACAACCAAGAATTAATCATTCAATCCACCAGGAATGTGTCTATACTGTCAAAAATAACTACAACTTTCCATCATGATTTATTTATTGCTGCAAGACTCCTATTTACCATGCAAGTAATTCCATTCCTACACAGTTACATTTTTCAATTCCCTACATATACTTAATTTTTTTTCGTATTAGTAGGTACTGTTTAACGAAGACATTTCTATTTAGCTATGTCAAATTTGTTCCAGCTGACTCCTAATTGTATTTCTAATTTTCGTCTGGCCAAATCGAATATGTTTTCCTGGCACATGCAGAGAAAATATAATAAAATTTCTAAATGCCATCTCTGCAGCATCATACCAGTCCTATCATATCTCCAATCTCAAACAGATCCATCAAAATGATTCATTTATACTTATAGATTTTCTCATCTCAAAATAAGCTCTTGACCTGCCATTCACCCCAATATATGCAAGAGTTGACTCCAGGAAAATGGTCATTAAATGAAGCTACCTATATGTTTATAAAATAGCGTTTAAGAACATTTTGATATTGACTTCCTTGCTACAGGACTAATTCCAGGGGAGTAAAGGACCCTGCCACCGAAAGCCAAACACTGCACATCCCTGATTGCTAGGCCCTGAGCATCTCCTCCTAATCTTAAAGTCTGGGAAGGAAGTTTGTTAACAGTCTTTCTGAAGAAGACAGGAGTTCATGAGCTCAGCAGCATCACCCTTAAGCAGGAACACGACTCTCCCCCTGGTTGTGAAGAAGGGATGCTCCAGGTTGCCGCCGAGCTCCGTGCCACGGCTCCACCCTGTTGCTCTGAATGAAGACGGAAGACCCCGTAAAAGGGCCTTACCTGGAGGACATCTTGGATCTTCACCCACACGTCCGCCATGTCGTACAGCTTGACGTCTTCCTGCTGAGCCGGTGGCGTCACGACGGTGTCCTGCAGGTATCCCAGGACCGCCGCGTGTGCAGCAGCTACAGCATTGAACTTCTCAAACAGGAACTCCAGCAGTTCTAGAAGTAACCTAGCCACGAAAACAAGTAAGTAAACAGCATTAACACATGCACCCAAGGGTGATTTCTGTACACTCGCCTGCAAGAAAACCACCAAAGTGACAATGCAAACAGCACATTAGATTCCAACAGGTCTGATTTCAAACAGCTGGAGGATCTAAGACACTTTTGAAAACTTATCTAAGCCTCAGTTTCCTCTATCCAAAATAGGAATGATGTAAGAATTTAAAAACCAACTGTCAAGTCCCTAAACTAGCAGTAAGCAGCTCAGTAAACATTTGTTTCCTTTTTAACATGTTTGAGTGATTACAATGCTACTTCTCTGTATTCTTTTAAGCAGTTTCTCCAAAGAATTCAGGCAATTTTTCAGACAGTTCCAATGTTACACAGAATATGCTATTCCCTGGCAATAAATTAGGCACTCGGTTAAGGACACTGAACCTTTCAGTCATGGGAAGCTGTGCTTACTACCGTTCAAATGCACGGTGTAAAGTGCCTGGAAAAAAGTATACACCTGCCAAGCAGTCTGACTATCACCACGGGGAGCAGCTTAGTCATCCGCATTATCTCATTTTTCATGGTGAGAAACGCTGGACACATATTACTGCATCAGCTTTATATACTCAAGGACACACAATGAGGTTGCAGGGCAGCTGGGCCTAGATCAACAGCCGATTTCCATGTCAGTGCCTTGGCCAGCTCTCTCTAGTTCTAGACTGCAGGTGCCGCTGCAGAGCTGGGGCGGGGCTCCGTGGCAGGAAAGCACAGGAATCCCTCCACCACTGAGACGACGGCTTCCCTGATCGCCCAGGCTCTGGATCCTCTTTACCCTCCTGAATTTGAAGAGCGTTTTCTCCCATTTTTGCAGAACTTAACCACATGTGGCTCCCATATGTGACAGTAAATGTGGGTCACATGTATTTGTATCTAGACATTTTAACTCCCTTCTCCACTATTAGTTTTTCAGCACAGGCACTGCTTTATACATCTCTGTGTGCCCAGCAGCACTTAGAACACTGCTCAGCAAATTTTGCAGAATGAAGTTAATGTGTGTGCCATGAACAAGCATAGAAAATGTTGGAACGTGACTTTCATTGTATATTGTGTGGCTCTCAATTCATAGTTCCTAAACAGACTTATAAACCAACCCAGAAAGGAGAAAAGGAGAGGGAAAGAGCTTGTTATCAACGTTAGTTAACAGATCTTATTACTATAAGTACGAGGTTGTGACTACAATCTCATCAAAACATATAGCACATCATCTATTCCTCTGGCTTCTTTACTGCTCAATTACTATAATTAATGTGCCAGCATGACAGCCAATAACTGTCCTATGATAAAACCCTAATATCTATTTGGCATTTTAATTTAGATGAGACAGAATCAATAAAAATTTATGTAGTACTCCCAATCCAGAATATACATAAACCAGAATTTACACATTGTATTTGTACATGACAGCCATCCTACCTTTTGAATGGTAATTTTTAAAAATCTTTTAAAGGTCAATTCATATTTACATGCACATATACCTAAAACAATTCTTTCTCATGTGTTACTGGAGAGCTACTCAAATACAAGCCAAGAAAGGGACAGAGTACAGGAAGAGGCATCTAACGTAACAGCCAAAATAGTTAATGAAGTGCAAGAAAATAATCTGTATAAAGCTGGTATCTGGCATCACACAGAGTAAATGCTTGATTAAGTGATGGCCCCACTTTTCAAATACAGATTGATGCTGATTATATAAGCCTGCGGTTCCCAAATATCAATCTACAGACCATGTATTTTTCAGTGATGCATAGGGAAAATAAGAATAATAGGACCACAGATGGGCTCTTCACAAAGGTAAATATACTTAATTTGATATTTTTTGTACTCTCTTGACAGGAAGATCTGTTATGTTCTCTCATAATGGCAGTTAGAATGCCAAATGTCCCTACTTGACAAAATTTAAACTTAATAACCTATGTTATACTCCAACATCCTTTGAAACCATATTGATCGTGACATTTGGAAGCCTGAGGCATCCTGGTGTCCAACTTCCCGATGGCAGGAAATCTTCACTACGGGCCTGTGAGCCAGCGGTGAAGCAGGGGACATTAGGGGAGCAGTGGCTGCTGCCTGGTCACCTCCAGGGCCACCAGGCTCGTGACTGCACACCCCGGCTGCCACTAAAGGACAAGACCAAGTCAGCAACCAGGGGCCGAGCTCTGTTTAGAAAAGAGACATGGCAGGGAACCGAGGTTAAGATGAGATCCATGTGTCTACTGGCACCACAGAAAGAGCGAGCCCCTGATACAATGCAGACAATCTGCCAGCTTCTGTCAATCACTCGTGGAGGACCAAGGCCAAGCTAGGCCCATCACAGTGTGACCGTCAGAGCCTGGGGAAGACAACAGGGGCAGAAAAAAGGGAGGAGAGACAGGTCAGAAGCGGTGAGATTCTACGTGCGTGCCTGCCGACGCTGACACACCCGCCCGTGTCCCGGGGATGGAGCCCTCCTCGCTGAGCCATCCCAGTCACGGCAACGTTAACAAAACCCACAGCACCGACGCCAAAATCAGAAACTTCCGTGCTCCGAATGATACCATCAAGAAAGTAAAAAGGCAAACCAAAGATGGGGAGAGAGTATCTGCAAATCACATATCTGACAAAGGATTTGTATTTAGAATATCTAAAGAATCCTTATAGCTTGTAATAAAAAGGCAAACAACCCAATTTAAAGCTGGACAGAGCGTGTGCATATGCCTTCTCCAAAGAAAACATCGTAATGAGCAATAACAAACAAAAAGGTGTCCAACATCATCAGCCATCAGAAACACGCAACTCGAAACCACGAGCCACCACTCCAACATGCCAGGCCGGCTATAATCGAAAGGACAGACAATAAAAAGTGTTGGTGAGCACGCAGAGAAATTGGAGCTCTCGCACGGTGCTGCTGGGGACATGAAATGGTGCAGCAGCTTTGGGAAACACTGGGGCATTCCCTCAAACCATCAAACACAGGAGTATTATATGGGCCCAGCAATTTCATTCGGAGGTAATACTCAAGAGAAATGGAAACACCCACGTGTACAAAAACTTGCATACAAATGCGCACAGCAACACTATTCATAAGAGTAAAATACTGAAATAGTAGTAAAACCATAAAAGTGGAAACAATCCCAATTTCCATCAACTAAGTAATCGGCAAACAAAAGGTAGTATTCCATACAATGGAATACTATTTGTCTATAAAAGGGAATGAAGTACTGATACATGCAACATGGACAAACCGTGGGAAACTCATAGAACATCATATATTGTACAATTACATTTGTATCAAATATCCAGAACAGACAAATGTATTGAGACAGAAAATCTAACGGCAGTGACGTGGGTGGGCGGGAACTGACTGCTGAACCAGACGGGGCTTGTTTTGGGTGGGGACACGGAGCCACACTGTGGCGGCCACTGCACAGTCCTGGGAACAAGCTGGAAGCCACCGAACTGCACACTTTCAGTGGGTGAGCTGCAGAGCAGGGGAGTTACGCCTCCACACGCGTCTAAAACATGCAGTTGTGGCTCTGAGTGCAGTCGGCGAAGGCCCGACAGCTCCCCCCGAAACCCAAAGAAAACGCACGGAGCGGGTGGGGGGGCGGGGGGGAAAGAGGAATCTACCTGCCGCTCTGTACACAGGGAGGCACAGGGAGAGCTGACTCCTGCAGACCCCGCTGCGGGAGGACAAGGGCATTTCCCTTTCGGTTCGCTTGTTTTGTGTCTTTGTTTTTCCTTCTAACACGAGTAATCTGCATGAAACAAAGATTCACATTCTTTCCTGGTGCTGATCATTCCTAACCTTTTAATTACGAAAAACAATCTCAACTTCTCCAAGTGTTCCATCTGTAAAATCAAATTTTAATTAAGACCTGTTCTGGGAGCCTCTCAGAACTGCCAGAAGGATCAAATTGGAACCTGCACAGAAGTAGCCAGGGAAATGACACAACAGTGAAGAGAGGGGAGTCTGGACCCCTTTGTCAGGGCTTGCGGCCTGACCACCTCTGAGGAAGATGGGTACCTTTCCAGAGAAAGCGAGAGAAATATATTAAATGTAGCAATTTGGAAGGAGCGATGTTGGTTTAGATCTGGACATGTTCCATTTAAGGTGCCATGTACTCAGGTACATGGATAGGCAAGTCTAGGGCTCAGGAGAGAGACTGATACTGGAAACTTAAAAAGTGAGACATATCTGAGGGAACGAGATCACGCAGGGACAAAGCGCAGAGTGAGAAAAAAGAAAAGGAAGCTCCAGAGCCAGCACTGCCTGAAAACAGCGGCGCTGAAAAGGTGATTAAAACGTGGCGAGGGCGGAGGAAGCCAGGAAAGACCATCTTAGAAGACAGAGGGGAGGAGTGCCAGCAGAGTCAAAGGCCACCCTGAAGTCGGGAGAGGCAGGGAGAGTTCCGACTCCCGCTCCCAGTGACCATGCTGAGCGGGTTTCAGAGCAGCACCGGGAGCTGCAGGCGGCAGAGGGTAAGTGAATGGCTGAGAACAGAAAGAAACCGAAGTCAGTCACACTTTTCAGCCACCTTATGCACTCTTTAATAAAGAAAAGGATAAAGTAAGAAGACTTTCCCCTGATGCGTCGAAGAAGATGAGAGATCAGGAACCACTCACATAAACTGGACGTAATCCGCACCAGTCTGGCCCCATGTAAAGCTGCCAGGAACACACTAAAGTACATAGTTAATATTCACACACATTCTCCAACTGCCCGCACGACGCCAGACTGAGATAACAAGGGTTTACTTCTAGCTGCAGACACACACGGGATGAACGAAACACACAAGCCCCAGGAAAATCATTCCCCACACCCCTCCCACCCCAGAATATTAAATAAATAAAAGGAGAAATAAACCATCACAATGCAGTTAGCACAGCTGCTTAAATCCTGTTAGGGTCAGGGTTTTCACCACTGATCCAAAAGACAATAGAGCAGGCAGAATCATTAAATTACTAGATGATTCCT